TCATGAAGATAAGCGAGTTCCAACTTGTGTACCTTTCCCGGTTCGTCCCGTGCAAGGATGGTGCTTGCTATGACTTGGTGTGCGTAGCGAATGACCGGATGTTGTATGTTGGAGGCCCGAGATTTTGCACTTGTGTAAAGTAATCACCCACGGCAATCTTTCGCAAGAAGTTCTTGAGAGTAGAGTTGTTTATCCTCGGTATTTTCCAGGTCGCACCCTTGGGTACTTCGAGAATGTCGGCTAATTGACCCATGGAGAGTCTCACCCATTTGTTATTAAGGCGGAATTCCATGTATGCCTCGTCAAGTGTTCCATCCTCCGGCAAGTAACAATGGTAGGTAGCCAACATTTCCAACGCAACACTCGGAATGTTTGGATTTGCTTCTCGCACCCATTTGGACCATCCCAGCTTATCAAAGATGTAGTTAACACCCTCCTCTATCCCGAGCTTCCGAATCGTCGCATCGCATAAGAATTTGCTATCCTTGAAAGGGATGGGACGAAGGTGCTTTATGTTCGGGGTTGCTTCGTCTCTCTTATCATTCTTCAGCTCTGGTTGACGACCCACCATAATTTCAGCACTGACCTCAGTAATTACGGTTATCGTGCCTTCACGTAGCGCTCTCTTGGTGATAAAAACCGGTTCATTTGGCTTAGAGAGAGCGGGTTGTTTCGAGGAGGAAGGTGTCGAGGTTCCTTTCCCAGGAGCTGGTCGTGGTCGCTTCTGATTGAGAGAGCCCTTGGTTGGTGGTCTGCGAGTGATGAGAGATCGGAACAATGAAAATGGTGAGCAAATTTCGAGTTGATGATTGCTCAGAAAAAATGGGAGGGCCGCCCTAAAACGTGAGTAGGGCGCCCGTTTTTCTGAGAAACCGTACTCGACAATGGATGTGCAAATCCCCAAAAATTTCGAGATTCGAGTTTGGAATAATCACTTAGGGTTTCGATAGCAACAATTTCGGGCAAATGGGACATGAAAAACTCGAAAATCTCCTAAGAATCTTCATGGCAATGATGAATGTAGGAGATGGGGAAGAGAGGAGTTTACCTGGCAGCCATTGAAGAGAGGAAGAGAGGAGAGAGAGGAAAGGGGAAGAGAGGGAGGAAAGGTGAAGAGAGCTCGACACTGAGAGAGAGGCGGCAGCGTTTGAACACCGGCGAAGGCTGGGCCGGCGACGGCGAAGAGCTGCGGCGGGAATCGTGGTAAGTTCTCCCTCCTCTTTTTTTCCTTTTTTTTTCTGGTTTCTGAAGCTAAGAGAGAATAGGGTTCGAATTTGGGGATAAAAGAGAAGAAACCCTAGAATCGCAATAGGGCGGTCGCCCTCAAATAACGAGCGGTAGCTCATTTTTGTTTGTTTTTCGAACGCAAAAGGCGGTCGCTCTAAAATGTAGAGTGGGCGCCCTAAATTTTGAAAAGTGTCATTTTGCTCAGAAATATCAGGAGGGTAGCCCGAAAATGAGAGCTGGCAGCCCGAAAATGAACTGATTCACAAAACTTCAAAAATCGAGCGATCGCTAGAGAAAAACAGAATGGTCCGCCTGGTTCTTCTGAGAAAGAGTTGGAGTCATATCAAAAAGGGGTCAAAATGTTGGGGTTTTTTTATTTTTGATCTTTAAAAAGGAAAACGGTATTTACAACCTCGGAATGCCCCCGAGAGCGCTGTTTTTCGGTCTCAGCTAGACCAGACCACTTTTCACTCATGAAACGGAGTCACGAGGGCTAAGGTGCCTCTCGGTCCGAGTTCATTTCCTGGGTTGTATAGTTTAACTCTCTGAGCATTAACCAAGAAAGTACTTCCCTTTCCATCATCGAGCTCGATAGCACCATGAGTAGTAACCCTCTTAACTTTAACAGGACCAGACCAACGAGATTTTAACTTACATGGAAAGAGGCACAACCGCGAGTTGAAAAGTAGGACTTGATCATCCTCCTTGAAAGTGTGGTGGAGGATATGTTTGTCATGCCATTTTTTTGCTCTCTCCTTATAAATCCTTGCATTCTCGTAAGCATCTAGCCGAATTTCCTCTAAATGGTGTAGCTCTAGAACCCGTTTCTCCGCTGCCGTCTTCCAATCGTAGTTCAAAGCCTTGATGGCCCAGTAAGCCTTGTGTTCCAATTCCACGGGTAAGTGACACGCTTTGCCGTACACAAGCTGAAAAGGGGTCATTCCAATCGGGGTCTTGAAGGCAGTCCTGTATGCCCAAACCGCATCCTCTAGCTTCAATGACCAATCCTTTCTTGACTTAGCAACCGTCTTCTCAAGTATAGACTTGATCTCTCTGTTTGATACTTCCACTTGTCCACTCGTTTGCGGATGATAAGCGGTGGCAATCCTATGGTGGACACCATACTTTGTCAAAAGGGTTTGGATTATCCTATTAACAAAGTGTGCACCGCCATCGCTTATCACTACTCTTGGCACCCCAAATCTTGGAAATATTGTTCGTTTGAACATCCTTGTCACAGTGCTAGAGTCGTTCTTCGGACTTGCTAATACCTCAACCCATTTCGTCACGTAGTCCA